ACTTAGAGCCGGGGTCGGTGGTGACGACCCTGCATTGCTCGCGATGCGAATCGATGGCGATTGTGGGCAAAGGGTGGGAATCAACGAACGCGTCGCGAGTTGAACATGAGTATGTAGAGCGTGCAAGTTGGCGCGATAGACACGACCAAGTCCGACAATTACAATCGAGTCAACAATCGTGAATCGTGTGAATGAATATGAGCGAATCTTGGGTCGTAATCGTGATTCGCTGAAGCCAGCTGCTCAAAACAGATGGTCGCGAGTCACAGATGAGTTCCCATACGATGGCAACTCCAGGCTGATCCATCAAGCTCTTTTATTCACAGCAGGGACCTTGCCTGCAGTTGCCAACGACGCTTGGCCCCGCTCTGGGTCGCGCCGAGCTGAACGAAGCCCGAAATCTTGCTGGCTGCTCTTGATGATCCGCTAAAGAAGATTGAAGCTCCGCAGCCATCCTGCGCTTTGTCCCTGACGCAGTGCTCAACAACCAAGATGCCCGGCAGTGAGCAGCTTTTAGATGCGATGGGCATGGTGCGTGCCCCTGCTTATGTCCTGTGCACACACATGGGATGCCACAGCATATACTTCGGAGGACGTCCCGATTGGCGAGTGTGACTGAGACTGCTTTAGAGCGTTTAAAAGACTGTGTGCAGCGCTCAGGATGGCCGCGTGCTGCAGCAATCGCTGTCAATAGTCTTCTTCGCTCACAGGATCATGTATATATGCACGCTGTTTGCTATACGTGCAGGGATGAAGTTCATCAGCGTCCATGCATGCACCCAGCAGCATGCTGCTGCTTGCAAGTGAAGAAGGCGCAAGCCCTGTACAGTACCGCACGCCATGCAGCATGCATCAGCAGCTATAGTCTGTTGGCATGGCAGTAGTATATTAGTCCTATAGTAGCACAAACACAGCAGTAGAAGAGTGTACGAGCGAGCACGCGCACGGGCGAAGCACGGTAGAGTATACGCGCGGTACACGATGCGGCGCGCTCTCCGCGGCGGGTTCGCTGTCCGCTGGCGCGCACACCGCCATGCAGCAGCAGCGCATATGCAGATTCACGATTGCATATGTCTGAGCAGCACTTGCGGTCACGATCGCGACTCGCGGCGACGGCGGCATGACCAGCAGCGGCAGCAGAAGCGGCGTTAGAGCGTGCATATGCGATACTGATGCT